TACATTTTTACATATTTGAACTTTAAATCTGTTCCTTAGGCAATGCATGAGAAGCACACATACACTTAGTTATAATTTGCTTGCAATTGCCTGACCACACTCTATTGTGCATCCCTTGACTTTCCAGTGGCTTGGTTTCCACCGGTATAAATATTATTCAGACCAAACACTTTAATATTTTAGAACGGAACGACTTTGGTGTTGTGAAGCTCACTGTGTGTATGTGCAAATAGAAGGACAATTTTGAGCTTGGTGGGCTTGATATTGGCTCATCAATCTTGAAAAGATGGTTCTTTTCAGAATGAGTCTCTCAGAGACAGTAGCTGTGCAGCCCCTAGTATTGAGTAGCTGACCTTTTTTAATATACCGAAATTAGAAATGGGAATATAAATGCTGTTATATGAAATGCATTAGTGCAAATGTGTTTTTAAAATGTATTGAGCTGGAAGAGTTTGGAGACAGTATATTTACCATAGCGAAGCATGTATGCAGTCAACTACACCGAGTCCACATTTTAAGGATAACCGATAGTATGCTGTATCTTATGTAACTAGATACAGACAAATTAACTAGAGCTCTTGTGAGCTTCTCATACGTGATACCACGTCTTTTTGTTGTTTTGTTTTTCCTGTCTGTATAGGATGCAAAAAATAGTAGTGGGGGAGGAAGAGATGGCTGTTTTAAAGAGCATCAAATATCTGTACACAGGAGGAATTTCTTGCTTTACATGAAGCATGGCATCGCTTGGTAATGTTTGTAACTAGCAGGAATAAAATACAATAGTTTTTTTAGATATTACTTACAATAGGAAAGTACTATAGTTAAATATTTCTCTCCCTTTCTACAAATTCTGTCAGAGACTGATTTTTGACTGTGCTTGTATAGCTGACAAAAAGTTGTGTGGGAAGGTGCTGCTTACCTGTTTATTCCAGTTATATTCATTTCCTTATGGAGAGATGGAATGTGAACCTTCTCTGTTTGCGGAGACCAAAGCATTTTTTGGACATGTTTATACTAGAATAAATGTATATTGAAGTATATGAAGCAGCTAGAGCTGCCTTTTTGTTTGCCCTGTTTAAACTCCCACCGCATAGGCTTAATCATGCTTTTTGTGGAGAAGACTAAAGGATGAAACTTTTCAGAGCACTCAGAATTCACCCGGTTTTTACTGCAGTGGTTTCAAGATGGTTTTCCATGCTTTTTAATAGAAACAGAAGATAGAGCAGTGCTGGGCACATGTGAAAATCCTACCCATAATGTGCATCTTTATTATGGAAAAGATTTATGCCTTCTTTCAAATTGCCTTAGGAGACTAGATTAACATGGAAAGTATTTTACCGCTTAAGAGATAAACAACTGCAGCAACCAGAACCCAGGAGTGCTTTTAAATTCAATTAAAAAAGGATGCAAAAGGTCAATTAGTACTTTAAGAGGTTGGTGCAGAAATCAGCGCAGGGCACTGGAAGTTGATGCATATTTTGCAGCAAAACTTCTGTTCTACTTGTTCTGTATTTCGCGTGTGAGGGCCGTTGTATAGCATCTGTGTTAAATATAATTAAAGTCCTTACCTATGCGTGAGGGGCTGTGGTTACTTGTCCCCCCACTCCCTGTATAACCCGATGGGGCACGTGGCCTCCCGACAGCGCCAGTGACGCAGTGGCGTTTCACGGTGGCACGAGTAGGCTGCCAAGCAGCAGCTGCCTTTGCCAAGCACCTTGTTTGGAGCTGTGACTGCTCAGCACATCTATTTGTGGCATGGAGCGAGACACTCGGCGGGGCCGGCCGGCCACCGAGCCTTCTCTGTAAGAGTCCCCGTCTGCCTGTGGCAGCCACCGGCATGGGCAGCTGGATTTGAAAGCCCTACAGAGAGAGCAGCGTGTGAGCGGGGAGGCAGGTGTCCATCAGCGATGATACAGCAACGTGGCTATTTTTGCTGCTGTTTTCCGAAGCTCTTCTCCACAGCCGCAGTGGGACGCTTCCCCTCCTCTCTTCTGCCGTTTCCTTTAGCACCTTCCCCGCCGTCCGCTTTGGCTTCTGATAAGATCCTCAGTGTGCCAGGAGGAGCCCCTCTGTCTTCTTCCTTCCTGTGTACCTCTTCCAGTCAAATACTCAACTTCTTCCTTTTCTCCTTAGCACTGCTTCCTTAACAGCAGGCTGGTAGGTTTTGTCCCAGATCCCATGGAAAGCCTTTGGGAAGCTGCCGCTGCAAATCAACAACTCCCTACAGGCTTTTCGCTTCCTGTGGACGGCTTCACCTTGGAGTAACCTAGAATTCCCTAATGAAAATGCTGTGTATTTTTAACAGTGTATTTCAGATCTTGGCAGCACGCCTCCAGCAAAATGACAGAAAAGAGAAGGTGGCCAGCTGCTCTGGATTTGTGGACTACCAAACCTTCACAGTAGAAACTATGTTTTGCTTCAGTAGCAGAAAGGACTTTTAAACTCCTGGCAAGCAAGTTTCTTGCTTAACAGAAAACAAATTGGGAGTAATGCCACCAGCAGCAATGGCAGCAGGCCTTGATAACCAGGCAGCTTCCTCTTATTGCACTATGGAGTCCTATTACCTTGTAGGACTGCTGCTTCAAAAAAGCTAGGAAGATTAAAACAGGCCTTTTGGATGGACATCTTATTGCACTGGCTTGCTGTGCTGCTTGCTTTGCTACAGCCAAGCAAAAGACTGTGCAGCAGCAAGCAAAAAACCCCAATTTTCCCTGCTGACCACAGAAGACACAAGGCAGCAGAGGTGGTTTCCAGTCACCTTGGTAGCCTGTGGATTTCAGGTTAACGCAAAGACGGAAGTAGTCCACTGGGAGAAGGAAGCACTTCAGGGCGCTCTGATTTGCAGCAGTAGCCTCCCAAGAGAATTGCCTGTGATCTGGGACAAAAGATGAGCGAACAATTGATGAGACACGAGCGGTAAGGGGAACAGAGAGAGTGGCTTGCTGTTTCTTGTCTTAGTGGCTTGGTGCACCTCTACTAATCCTGCATGAATCAGCATGGTTAGTCCATGCAGTCAGTCTCCCTGGAGTTTTTCATACATGAAAACCCAGCACTGACCTGTGCAGGAGCTGTTGGGAAGCAGGATGGAGAAGAAGAGCTGACATCACGATGCCTGCATCTCCATTACCAAACAGCGCTCGTTTTCATCGCTGGTGCTCCAGCGGACGCAGGAACCTTTTCTTCCAGCATTGTTTCCTGCAGCGGTGCTCTGGCAAGATCATTGTGGCCCAGGGCTACAACCTGCGCGCTGCTTGATCTGGAGCTTGCTCCGTGACAGATAAAAATAGGGCTTGAGCTCCATCCAAGCTGTGTAAGTGGTGGGGGCGCAGCCTCCGCAGCCTGTTACAACTTGTGACTCCCGGAAGCTCTGGGGCAAGATGGATAATCACACCTACGGACGGGGTAAATTAATGGGGTCATGCTGCCTGGATCCCACCTCCTGTGATGTCCTGTGGCACGGGGTAATAGCTCGCCCAAAGGTTGCTTCCTGCTGCAGGGGGGCGGCTGAAGGGGGGTGAAGGAAACCTGACCAAACCCATGCCAGACATTTGGCCCGCTTGGTTTCGCTGTGCAGCAGCAGACACGTAGTGCTGTGCTGGCCGGCCTGCAGGAAGGTGGCTGCGTGCGAGCCCAGGCCTGTGCGCAGAGAGGGGTGCGCGCTGCTCCACGCTTGCCAAGCAAGCTGTCCCAGCCGGCGGTGAGAGGTTCGGCCCCAAACTGTCATAAACCAGACCCTCCGCAATAGGTCCTAGGAAGGCGAAGGCACATTAAGACGTACTAGCCTTGACCGGACTTTCTGTCACGTCCTTTGTCACGTTCTAGTTCTAATTTCTCTACTTGTTCCTTCTAGTCATCGTCTTCCTGTCCTCCTCTGCCTTCTCATGCCCCGCCACAGACCAGCAGATTCTTCGGATACCAAGACGCCGCGTGTCATGAACACAAAGTTCACGCGGTTTCGCGGTTCAATCCATTGCTAACAAGGCTGAGTCAGTTCAGTGCAAGAGAGAGCGAGCTGCTGGGGACAGCTTTCCAAAACCCTGCTTTGTCTGCAGTTACCGGTATCCCACATCTGCCGCAAGCGCTGCGCTTCAGGCAGGGAGGGTTTGCGGGAGTGTAATTATTATTAGCTGCAGATCTGCAGCTAATCGACCCTGCCTTCCCTGGTAAGTGGTGCACAGCAGGTTTTTTAAATAGAATATAACCGTGAAATAATTGCAACATCAGGAGGGCGTTCTGTGGTGAAGGAATGATTAATTTTATTCTTTCTTCCTGGTCTTGCTCTCTCAGTTCTCTAATACCCACAGTAAATTACTTCAGTAAGTGTTCTTACATTAGATAATTGTTCTAAATGCAGCACATCGCTGAAATCAAGCTTTGTTTTTCCTCCTTCATATATTCCCCATGTTAGCATACCTGGCAGTTCGGTGAACGGCCCGTGAGGCACAACAGAAACCAAACTATCCGTCTGTGCTTAGCCCTCCTCTGAAGTGCTGACGAGAAGAAAGATGCCTGTAGATAAATTCAGCACATATGACTTAGAAGACACAGGTGGAACATTAAAAGCCATTTTTACAACTTACTTAATACACCGTAGCATTAAAACAGTGTTTACCTAAGGACAGAAGTCTTCTCTTCACGCTTTCCACTGCCGGTTTGCCCAGGATAAAATTGTTGGAATCCACCTCCACCCCCCGCAGCAGAAAGTAGCTGCGGACAAGTCCGACGGTGAAGGCGTTTGCTCGCGTGGGTTACTCACGCCGCAGCTCTCCTGGGCGGCTTCTGTCAGCAGCCGGCAGCGAAGCCCCTTTCCAGCACCCGGGTTTGCATGAGGGCCTGGCAGGGGAATGCGCTCCTCTGCCCGCAGCCAGCGCCAGTAAATCACAGCGTGACGGGCTCGCCGCCCCGCCGCTGAACTTTTAACTTGAAGCTCTAGCAGGGCGCTGAGCGGCTCCGGCTACAGGACACGGAGCTGTGAAAGTAAATCACCTCGCTGGGAACGAGGGGAAGTCCAGCATATTGTTTTGCAGGCTTTGCCTACAGCTTCTTTGCAGTATAAGCGTAGAATATATACAAGCGGGAAAGCGATTAGAGAGAGATGGACTTCCAGCGCAGAGCTCACCCTTACCCCATCCCGGAGGATGAAGAGGTTGCACACAGGGTCGCTCCTGATGCCCACAACTCTGCAGGAAACGAAGGCGAGAAACCGGTGTCAAAATTGCAACGTAGGCACAGTGACATAAAACTCTACAAAGAGTTTTGTGACTTTTATGCAAAATTGTAAGTTCATTCTGTTCAGCTTCGGGGTGTAACTATGGTGACATTATTGGAGTATTGTACATACTTATTTTATTATCTGAGCGCTGGGCAGGCTCTGCAAGGCATTCTCTAATGCAACCTTTGCCACTGTTCTGCTTGATACGTTGCCAGCTGTAATCGCCAACTAAAATTTGAGCTGTTGCTTTAAACGTCATCATTAATTACATCAGAAATTTTTATCAGCAGTTGAAACGGAGTGGGAATTTGTCAAGTAGTCTCTCTGGCTTTAGGTTGTTTGCGTATTATTTTGGGCAAATGGATAAACTGCTTCACTAATGCAGAAGTATTACGTACGTCGTTGTTTCTACATATATGATGTTTCAGTTCAAAATGAAGTACTTTTAATGAGGAGGAAAGCTTTATGTTTTCATTTTGTTTTAAACTTTGTTTCATGTTTTTGCTTGGATTACACTTTGTGTCTGACAGCACTTAACATTAAATCATTTTTTAAGTTTAACATCCTTAGTGCTTGAGAACTAAGATGATGATGAAAGATCCCAGTTTCTGTTGTGATTAGTCTTCATTTAGATTGGTAAGGAGGATGGGCAAAGAGTCTGAGGGTTTTTTTTCCCCCAGAATGCATACATGATCCATGGAGACCATCAGTGAGCTTTATACTTAACCACAGTTATATGTATAATCACTGCAGTTTGTCTGTAGGCTTGTCCCTTGGGATAGCATGGGGTAGACCATACTCAGACTCCATCTGATCTCCTTTGTGAAACTTGCCCACTTGTCATTTAACCAAGAAGGTGGTGAATATTTGGACAGCAGTTACTGCTTTCCTCTTCTGCAAAGATCTGTAGAAAGAGAGAGAAAAAAAAAAAGAGGCAGCTAATAATAACTGGTCAGATGTGACCTTGCTCTTCTGTGAGACAGTAAAGAAATAAAGCACATTCCTTTTTGAACCACATGCTAGGTGTTTGCTTCCTCCCTCGAATGCTGTGCAAGGAGTGAATTCAGTTCCTATTGAACCTGGTGGGAGCCAAGAGGTCTTACCCCTTGGGGGGAAAGGCTTGGCATCTTGCAGGGGACTGAGGGCTTTGCACCTACAGGCGCAGCATGATAGATCTTTTCTGTATCGGTGTTCAAAATAATGATGTCAGTTGTTCCGTGAGCTTCCAGACAGATGTTTGAGTCAGTAGTTTTGTGAGCTGTGGTCAGACTGTAGTGAAACTGGACCATCGCCCTGTATCTGCTCCCTGCAGCAGGGCAGAGAGGTGATCCTGAAAGGCGTAGCTTCGGGAGTCCAGATACGAGTAAGAAAATGCTTGTGAAGGAAAAATCAAGTGAGCCTTTTTTGACACAGGAGCCTTCATTAACTGAAACACAGCTGTACTGTCTGTTGCAGATGGAGACGCGATCCTCCTGAAGTAGCTAATTCCTCTGCTATTTTGCAGCTACTGACCTGTCATTTTATGGTCCCGTGCCTTTGGGGAGCAGCCAAGGTTGCAATTTGAGTAATTTTTGCATTCCTGGCATGGGGTCACCAGCTTGTGTTGGCCTGCGTGTGGGTCGCAGTGGGGCAGCCAAAGCATTCCCACCCTCCCCCTCGGCCCTTGACCAACACTGGCATGCCATGGGCTGACTTCCCTGAGCTGAACCCTAACGAACCAACCAAAAATCCCATGGCTTCAGACTGAATTTGTAAAATGACTTCAAGCTATGCAAAGCTTATATAAGGAATAATTGTTTACCTGCTCTGGTTTTCAGTAATATCTGTCAGGCTAGATACTGTACAGTCTTTCATGTTGCTTATTTAGAGCTTTTGAACCAATGCTGCTATATATATTTTAGAATTAGGAATTGTTTTGGAATTATTACTTATGTTTTCCTATGTGATGCCAGTCCTCAATTACTGTTAATAGTTGTCCTTGTGTTTTGTAATTCTAATGTATTATTTCATCATTTTTATAGCAGTACTTTGAATTGCCTGCCTTTTCTCGTCATAAAAAGCCTGTAAATGTATCTGTAGTAACAACATTTCTGGGTGTTTTTGTTTTTTTTTTTTTTTAATTAACAGTTATTAGAATATGTTGTGGGATTTTTGTATCTAAAGAGTTTGGGAACAGGGGGAAATGACAGTTTTATATCTGAGAGGATGCCACAAGTCATTAAGTCCATTAAAAAACTTGTATTGAGCAGCCTAGCGTTAGGCTGATGCAGTTGGCCTTGGGGAACAAAAAGAAACCACAACCTGTGGCGTTGCCTATTTGAGCTAATTTTCTTTCTTTCTTTTTCTTTTTTGTGACAGCAACATGGCAAACGCTCTCGCAAATGCCATCTGCGAGCGCTGCAGAGGTGGCTTTGCCCCTGCCGAGAAAATCGTCAACAGCAACGGTGAGCTGTACCACGAGCAGTGCTTCGTCTGCGCCCAGTGCTTTCAGCAGTTCCCCGAAGGGCTCTTCTACGAGGTAAGCAGGGCAAGAGTGTCCCTCTCTCCCCCAGCCTTTGCCTTGTGCCTTCATTCCCATACCAGAAGTAGCTACAGGCAGATCGATAGCCTAGAAAGTTCCGTGTCGAGAACGGGGCTCTGAAAGGATATGCCAGAAAGAAGGAGAAAAAAGCAGAAATGTTTCTATGCCAGTTTGGAGGACATCGGTGTGTAGAACCTTTTTCAAATGTGTTGCCTCATGTTATCAGAGCTGAGAAAACTGCTGGAGATTTCTCTCTCAGTGCAGACTTTTTCCCCTGAAGTCCGTGAATATCATACCAGATCTGGCATGATCCCCTGAAATCTATATATAATACCAGAAATACGGTGAAAGCATACTTCTTAGAGGAGAACAGTCATGTAGAAGGAAACCTCAGCATCCTGCGGACCGTAGGAGGTTTACTGCTGAGCTGAGTGAGGCCAGCACGGCATGCAAAAAGTTGCTCATAGAGATGACCTGTAAGTCAGCGTGCTGAGATCAGAGTGTGCGGAGAGCCCAAACCAGACAGGGCCTATGTAGGGTCAACACTAGGTTTAATGAACCGGGGCATTCAAAATTAGCAGTTCTTCCATGCTTTCAAGAGTTAAAACCCGCTCTCACTCATGTTTCTCAGCCCCAGGTAGATTGCCTCAGCTCAGATGGGTGTTTTGATATCGGTGGCATTTTCTTTTGCCTTCCCCTAGCATGGGGATTCAGGATGTGGCTCAGCTGTCTCAAGTACAAAGTGGCTTTAGACTAGTTCATAAAATATGAAGTAGCTGGTATAAGGAAGGGTAGATAATGTGAGACAGGGAATTATTGTCTGAGAGATAAGGTCTCGCTCAAGTAGCTTGTAGTCTAACTTACAGTAGTGGTTACAGGATTTATGTCATACTGTGATCTCGAAGGAAGGTGAGCAGTGTGTTAAAAGCACAGTGCTATGCTCTCACATACAGTGTGCTATCCTCGTGGCAGGAGTGCAACAGTTTATCTTCCACGGTAGTATTTCTAATTTTACAGAACCGTGTTGATGAGGAGAGGCTGAGGGAGGAGTGTGGATTGGAAAAGAGACTGGCAAAGGGCATTCTGGGGGTTTGCTTTCTCTCACCTTGTTTGAGGATCAAAAGACTTTTCAGCGCTGTAGGGATAGTGTTGCACAAATTGTGGTAAATGAGCCACTAGTGTTCCATGAGACATCAAAAGGTGAGCTGCAAGGCAGTAGCAATTAAAAAAAAACAAAACAAAATGCTCCCTAGATGCTTACACATTACATTACAATTGTTAATATATACAGAGCTGCTGCCTGCTTGCAGGCATGGTAAGGAGACCTGACGTGTTAAGACCTAAGGCAATTGTAAAGTGATACAAATGTTTTAAAACTAAAATATTTGTAACTGTGTTAATAAAATCATCTTAAAACAATCAAAGGTATTTTCTCTTCATAATGAGTACTTTATTAATACTTTTTCTGAGTCAAAAAAACAGTGGGACAATCCAGGGACCTCTCTGAATGGTCCTTTGTTTGAGATAAAAGTTTGAGAAATCCTGCTCTAGGCAACTGTATCTCCTAGGGGATGGAGGAGGACCGCAATGGAAAGAAAGTGTTATGTTTGCACCTAATCCAGGAAAATTACGACGTCTCTGTTGCTTACCATGGCCATATCTGAATGTCCTTGGCAGGGGCAAGTATCCTGGGGGTGTTTAGATATATGGGATATAGGCGTTTTTGAGCATTCTCTTACCACAAAGTGATGCTCCCTATTAAAGACGGTAAGTCAGAAGTGAGTGTCGATAGATTGTCCTGGGAATGAAAATAGCCTCATGCATTAAACATGTTTTGATTAACATTGCTAGGATTTTTTTCAGCCTGGTAGACACTTTGTTGTTGAGAAATGTTACATAGAAAGTGGAAAGTTTCAGTTAAGAATAGACACTTTTTGCCACAGCTATTACAGAGGTAAAATAATTGTGATGAGCGTTAAATGAATATGTAAAGACTTGTGTCCACCACAAGATCTTGCAGTTTTTCTCTGTACCAGCAAGTCTGTCTGCTGCTGTTGAAGAGAGGTACTTTTTGGTCTGTTTAAGCCCTCTGGCAGTCTTCAGGTGATGGCTCATAGATCTTATCCAGCCTTTCTCCCTCATCTATACTGCCTGGCCTATGGAGAGGTCAGCAGATATCCGTGCTGTCACAGCCCTCGTGCCTTTGGGGCTGTTTCAGCTGGGAAGCCTTTGTCAGGGCTTCTCCTCTGTCTCTGCAATGTTTAGGGTGTCCACGTGTGTCCCGTGCTGCCAGAATGGCTCTCACTTAGCACGGAGGTGGTCAGTGAGATGACTGCAGTGGAAACCCTGGCGTGTTTCCTGGTGGTGCTGCTCAGGGAGAAGGGGGAACAAAGGCACAGCTTACTCTTCTTTCATTCGGCACCTTGGCACAAGCGTTGGGAATGTACTGGATGGCAGCATTTGGGGGAGACAGAGGGACAGCCCTAAGCAGATAAAGGGTGGGCTCAGGTTGGCTGGCGCTCAGGAGATGGCTGACAGTGCTCTGCGGACTTGAGATGATCTGTATCGCTGTCAAGAAAAAGTGACTGGAGAAGATGGGCAGAAAGGATATCTTCCTCTGACTGATTTAATGCACTCTTCAAGAAGATGGATGCATTTGGAGTTGTGGCCAGGTAACGTGTTTTTCTGAGCAGGTTCCCTGTGGGTCGCTCAGCATGAGCTTGTGTTTATTCCGTGCCTGGTTTAGCTAAGCTAGTGTTTCTTGGAAATTATTGCTAGCTTTTAGCAATCAGGAAGTCGAATATTCTTCCCCTGCCTATCGCAAGCCGGGCAGAGTTCCCCCAGTTAGTCATTAAGCTGCTTATCACATTTGCCATCAGACGCTGCCGTGATAAGCTTTCACGCTCTGTTCCATGGGCGGGGACTGAACTGGTCAGGCTATGAGGGAAGAAACGCTGATGCAGGTCTCCCACGCTGCAGGACGCGTCTCTGGGCTGCCTGCAGGGACCCCAGTCAGCACAGCTCCCCAGGTCTGGTACTGGAGCCGAGCCGCTTGCAGGCACAAGCGGTGCCACGCCGGAGCAGTGCCCGTCCACGGCTGGGAGTTTGCACAGTGTAGCGGTCGGGATCAGCTGTGCTGGTCTAAAAAGTAGTAATTTTGGAAAGAGAAGGACCTCCAGGGTGTTTCTTCTAAGCTTTTCCACATCTTTTTGAAGGTGAGTACAACCCCTGGAAATCATCTCCTCATGAGCCCTAAGTTAGAAATGATCATACGGATTCATAAACAGCCAGCGTCAGCCTTGTTGCGTAAGGATGTAAGCAAGAGCTCTGTGCCTAATGCTGCATGGGACCTACTGAGCTATATCTGTGTTCCAGTTTGCTCAGTATAATCAGCTTAGAATGTTTTCTCATGCGCTCCACGTAAACAGAACTTAGCCCAAGCACGTGCCAGCAAAGTTTCCGAACTTGCCCTGCTTTGCCATCAGGTGTGAGGTGGCAGCAATTCTGCCTGCTTTTACTCCACCACCTGAAGCCGCGTATTCCCCAGAGTCTTACAGCGGGCGTCAGTGCACGATCCTGTGCTAACAGCCGAACAGCCGGCTTGGACGGAGAGCTTCGGCGGCAGCGCGCCCAGAGGGACAGGTTGTCCTCACTGTAACCAGTCAGGGGGCATTTCCTCCAACCCACGTTACTCTCGGGTCCAAGAATGGCTCCTCCCTACTAGAGATTGCCTGTCTTTCCCACTGGGGAATGTGGGCACCTCACCCTCAGACAGGGGAGGTTAGGAGAGATGAGTCCTACCCCTGGCCCAGCTGTTCGTCAAGAGCTTCTTGCTGGGTGCTTTCAGAAGCAGCTCAACCTGCTCTGTGCTGTGCTGAGGTGGGGGAGATGGAGGGCCTCACAGAGGTGCATCCCACAATAGAATAAATACAGCAAAATCCTTATGGAGTACTCACAGGAGCTATAATTTATTCCCCTGTATTGTTGTTGTTGTTGTTGTTGTAATTATTATTATTATTATCATCATCATCATCATCATCATCAAATAAAATAAAATTGTGTATGTGACTTTTGTCTCCTAAATGAGAGGGAGTTCCCTTCAGTTCTGGGCTTTTTCTAAGGTGTTTGTAAAAACCTGTAGGAAGATTAAAGGAAGGTGCAGCTGCAATACACTTGTCAGATTTGTTTCTATTCCAGTTGCATCTTGAGTGTTTTCTTAAAATGGGCTTTACCAGAAACTACCTCAGGAAAGGGTCTTTAAAGACTTCGTTTGTTTTGTGCATTTTCCACTAAGTTAGCTAAAAATGTGGAGATCAGCTGGAGGTTATGTCATGGTGAAATGTTCTGTGCAGAGCCTTTTAACGTACAGACCTCCAGCATACAATGGTCACATGCCCTTGCTTTTAAAATACGTGCCGTGGGATTTGTTATAGAAGCTTAAGGCTTTCTCTGACGGATGAACTGCAGGGTCATCCACAAAAGGCAGCATAAATGAGCTGAGAAGGTTGAAAATATAAACAAGACTGAATGGTAACCAACCTGCCTGATTTTTTAAGCTGTTTGGTCTGCCCAGAACAACATGGGGTGGCTCTGAAATCCAAGAAAACCTATGCATCTCCCATTGTACCACCTGTTTACACAAAACAGAAAGCTTTTGGATTTTTTTTCAGTTTAAAAAGGATTTTATCTGGCAATAAGCAAGCACAATTCTCAATGAACCAATAATTCCCATTACTCTTTGAGACAGTAATAGCCCTCTGTATCTCAATTTAAAAAAAAATCAAAATCTCCAATTAAAATAGTCATCTTTTTAGAGTATTACACTGGATAAATTGTATCAAGTAGCAGAGACTTCTGGAAGAGTCTGTATAGAGCGTGTGTCTTTCTATTCCTAGTAGGTGCAATTCAGGTTGGGCGCAGGCATTAGTTTCTGATCTTGAGCGTCTAGTGACTTCTAGAGGGTTTCATTAGATCCCTGTCCTGCCAGGGGCTCTGTATATTGCATGAGTAATGACTTACAACGTATTCAAGCCTTGAAATGTCATTGTATAAAACAGGTAGTCTTAAAGCACATTGTTGTATTTTCTGTCTGTGCACCAAAATTTAATTTGTGGGTTGTATTTTATGCTCTTTGCTTTGTTCTGTCTTAGAGTCAGTAAAAAGAAAGGAGTGGGGTTTCCTGCTATCCCCCCTTTTCCAGTTTTAAACCGAGACATTCAAATTCAAACAAACATTTCATGGCATACCTAATATTGTCTGTCTGGTTTTGACATGCTAGTTGGCATGTGTGTCTAGTAATGACATGCCTGAAGGTATCTAAACATTTCCCTTCATTTTAGGACATACTTGCCTACATGTTTTCACATATTCTCCAGCTAATTTGCTAATGCAGTGCTGTAGAACTTTTTTTTCCCCTTTTTTTTTCTATGCGAGCTTGAACTGCAGCTGAACTTCTCTAAGCTGTGAGAAAATTCAGATCCAAATCCCTTAAGAACGGTTCCCTGTTTCATCTGGTTGATGTAGTGAACTTTTGTTCCTTAACATTCAGACTCGATGATCTTAAGGGTCATTTTCCAACCTAAATGATTCTATAATTCTATGAAATAAGCATCATGATGGAAAAGCCTTATTTTCCTTCATGTTTTGGCTGTACTGCTCCATAAATTGCAAAAATTTCTGTACCATACCCCCCGCCTTACGTCCTCCGGTATGCTGGGTCATTCTTGCAGGAAATGTAGAGTGGGGAAGAGATCAAATGGGTTCAGGGAAAATGCTTCCCCCCAGGAAAGGTTTTTGTTAGCTAATTTCCTGCCCAGAATTCTCTCAGTTGCATCAGAGTTTCTGCGGTCTGTTAAAATTCAGATGTCTCTTGAGATGTAAATGGGTGATGGAAAATGCCTTACACTCCCCGCAGTACTAGAGGAATGGTGTGTCATTAACGCTACATGCTAGCTACTAGTAGCTGAATTAAGGTAAGGTGGGTGGATTTAATGCCTAGCACATGGTCTGTTTTTTTTTGTGTAGCCCCTCATATTTTACTACCTAATCGCATCTGGAAACAAACCAGTATGTTACAGCTTTAATGTTAAGGACATGCTTCTCATTCCTCTAACGCTCAGATTTTCTCCCATTTGCAGTTTGAAGGGAGGAAGTACTGCGAACATGATTTTCAGATGCTTTTTGCCCCTTGTTGCCATCAATGTGGTAAGTTTTACATCGAGGTGAAACGCTTCACACCGATCACAAATAGGAACGTCACTGGGGGAAGATGTGCAGCCCTTGCTTACCTATCTTCTCTGGGAGGCGGCCCTGTGCAGCTGAGCATCTGAACTTCCAGATTGAACTAGGCTTCAGAGAATTTGGGGAGCTGCTTTTCCTAAAGGTCATCAAACAATGGGATTAAAAAAAAAAAAGTTTTCATTATTTGAACGAGTAGTTTAGCTGTTGATCCAGTGATCCAATGAGCAGACCATTCATGACTCCCGGTTATACACATCTCACGTGTGCTCATGCAGCTGAAACCCTGCAACAAGCCTTTGTCATCTGCTTTGACTACTGTAACCCACCTGTGCTGTCCTACTCGACAGAAGTGGGGACAGTCTTTATCATCTAGTGTTATAATCAACTGATGGGCCAGCCGGTCCCCCTTCCTGTTTTTGAAACAAATACCATTAAGGCTTCAACGTCTGTTGTCGACCCTGCGTAACACTGAGGGCTGCGTTTTATTTGCCACTGTTGATGTAAATGCTTGTGTGTCTGCCGTGCTATAATCATTTGCACTTTTCCGCCTCCCCCTGTGTGTGACACACCGTGCTTGGGCAGGGCTGGGAAGTCATTACTTGACTATTGCTTAAACTGGTCTGGAAGCTCTTGTGTTTCTGCGGCACCTCGGAAAGGTGCTGCAGCTTTCACTTAACTCAGTGAGGCCTTTCCCCATGTGGAAGGAGGCGTTGAACACCAGGGAAGAGGGAAGCAGATGTTATGGACCTTTGAATTTAACGCTGCAGATGTGAACAAGCTGGGGAAGAAGAAGAAAGGGGTCAGTGGTGATTTCTGAAGAGCTATGCTGCCTGTCTCCAGGATTTCTCCTGCCCAGCCTGTACAGCTCCCATTGCTCCTGCCCTGGCTTTTCATAGCTCCAGCTCCCTTAAAACTTTATCAAGGTCCCGCGCAGAGCTTGGTGTTAGTAAGCCAAAATCAATGGGGCTGTTGTCAGTGATGAGACCTTGAGCATTCCTGACATTTCTAGACTCTGTCAGGTTTTATTATTGGAGAACCTACGACTTCATGGGAGCACCACACAGTCGCATGCTGGATGTTACCGTCCGCGTCGGTTACCTGCCCGATCACTCCCCTTTGGCAGCTGTTGGAGTTGTACGTTCTCCAAAGGCATGACTTAGCCTCCCGTGGCACTGGGAAGCTGAGCTCCCAACACATTTTAGGCAGAGCTTTTGCACTGCTCAGAAGCCTTGGCTACAACATCCACATAGAGAACGACTAAATCACGTGTGTGGTGGACCTGGTTCCACTGCTTGTGCAGTCATACCATGCATGCAGAACAGTAGTTCTCATGCTATTTTTTTTATGCCTCACAGGACAGGACTCCTCATGGTAGGTCAGAAGTTGTGTGTGTCAGATTGACCGTTCTGTAGCTTCACTGCAGCTTCACATTTTGACTCCATGGGGGGTTTTTTGCAGGAGGTCCACAGACACCCAAGCTCAGTTCTGTTGTGCTTTGAGTATAGAGCCCCTTCAAGGTTTGGTCCTAGTGGAGTAGAAACCACTACTATGTACATGACAAGTTAAAATTGTCGTCTTCTAAAAGAAAAGAAGGGGAAAGATTATTAGGACACAAGAAAGCTGTTATTATATAAAGAATTCCATATATTTCTTAACAGCTTGAGTACAGGTAAGTAAAAACAGGCAAGGGACTGAAAAAGGATGATTGCAGAGAGAAGGTGGAGTGTATGTGTAGACGGGCTTGTATTTACAGACCAGAAGGTCCTCCATCAGCAAGGACGTTTTCTTGTGACCCATAGCAAAAAACTCAAACAAACCCATATTCCAGAGTTTAGAACCAGAACTGTGTAATGTATTCTACCAGATTTGGGGGGGGGTGTATGAAGAAGATGATGACATTGTAGGAATTTAGCTGTGTGTTGCTTTTAATTTTGTCTAGCATGGTGTTTTACATCCTGGTGTTGTGTTTCTTACAGGCGAGTTCATTATTGGTCGTGTTATTAAAGCTATGAACAATAGCTGGCATCCAGAGTGCTTCTGCTGTGATATCTGCCAACAAGTATTGGCTGATATTGGATTTGTCAAGAATGCCGGCAGGTAGATCTTCACCCTTCCTTCTGTTAACCGATCATGAATAAAGTGAACTAAAAGGGGCGACTGAGAGGTTTTGGTTCCTGAAGCTTTCCAGCTGAGGTGGAGCAACTGAAGCATCTTTTGTGGGGAAAAGGTCTAAGAATGCATCACAAAACTAAAAATGGGTATCTTAAAATATACGCTTAAAATATTAACAGTTTACCTACTCCAACACCAGATTTCTCAGTAAACATGTTTGGCAAACTTGGTGACATTTCAGAGCCATTGTGATACATAATTAGAGAGAAAACATTCAGATACAGAAGCATTGTCTTTATTCTTTTAATACCAGTTTTTACTTTCTTTTTCCAACTTGGATTTCCAAATTTGGTCTAGTTTAGCACCTTATTTATTGAGAATTGCTTTAAGTTCAGTGGGACCCTTCACAGAGTAGAATAGTTTTACCAGCTGTGATTATAAGAATGTTTTACAAATGGATTCTATGGCCATTGGCTTTATATGTGTAATATGATATACAGAGTTATCTACAGAATTAGGACTGCTGTGCTCATCCAGCTTCCAATCTAAATTTTTAAGATTTTGAGAGTAAAACATGCAGCAATGAGAATCTATAGCAAACTCTGTTTTCTGTGTTTCAACTCAGCTTAAACTCAAGCGAGCTGAAGAAACAATACTCCTGTGGTGACAGAAAATAAAATGATCACCCTGCCTTTTCTGAACTTGGTTTGCATAGCAAGGAAATTGTTTTAAAGACTATTTTCCTTCCAGAAAGGGTTAATTGAGATGAGGTTCTAATAGATTTTTGGTTTATATTTTGCACTGTAGTACCTGGTACCACTACTTACCTCTCTTTTTTATGTTGTTTCAGACATCTCTGCCGTCCTTGCCATAACAGGGAAAAAGCCAGAGGCCTGGGAAAGTACATTTGCCAGAAGTGTCATGCCATTATTGATGAACAACCTCTCATATTCAAAAATGATCCTTATCACCCTGATCACTTCAACTGTGCAAACTGCGGGTAACTTGAGTTCACAGAATCACAGAATAGTAGGGGTTGGAAGGGACCTCTGAAGACCATCTGGTCCAACCCCGCTGCCAAGGCAGGATCACCTAGGGCAGGTTGCACAGGAATGTGTCCAGTCGGGTGTTGAAGGTCTCCAGAGAAGGAGACTCCACAACCTCTCTGGGCAGCCTGTTCCAGTGCTCTGTCACCTCACAGTAAAGAAGTTTTTCCTCATGTCAAGGTGGAACTTCCTGTGCTGCAGTTCTGGAAAACAGGAAAATGCTGGGCTTATTTGCTTCATCGATTTACATTTTAAAGTGAAAACCTGTCCTGTACAACTGGCAAGAGGAGTGGGGTTTGGGTGCCTTGCAGCCAGATGTGTCTTACTGCTTTTGTGATGGTGGAGTTGGGCCTTTAGTTCAAACCACAGCTGACCTGTCAGGGAGTAAATAAAGGTTGGACTCTGCAGGACAAGGTGGTACCTTACAAAACAAGAAGTATGGACACAGATAGCTGTTTCTGTAGCAGCAAAAAGACAGCTTGTTACTCTGCTATGAGAGGAAGAAAAGCGGTCCTCTTTGGCTGCTTAAGTTACTATCTTACCTATGTTATTTCTTTTTAGTTGAGTGGCATGCAAACTTTGTTCTCTCCTTTTAAGGCCTGTGGTTTTTTTAGAAGCTTTCTCCCACCTCCTTTTATCAGCTTCTGCAACTGCAGTACCTGAAGCTGCACATTTCTACATCCTGCACTGATGCAGAGATCAGGGGGCATTGTAGGATATAGCACGGATTATTAGTTGTTTATTTGTGGCACAAAGGAAGCTGTCATTTCAGTGCCATATCAAAGGCTTATTTGAGTAACAATGTGGTGGTGTGTCAGTGGCAACCAGTTGAGAGCTTTAATGAGTACAGTCACGTTTAAAGTTTAGCTGTTCTCAGTATTCTAACCATGCAAATTACTAAAAAGTAGAGTATGTGAGATTCTGCAACTGGCAATGAATAAACCTAGCTAGCTCATGTGGGTCCACAATTCTCTTTCTCTGAAGTTTGATACAACATGGGAAGCATACCTAGATGTAGAGGAGTACACTTTACTTCCAGTTACAGTTACGCAAATCTAAAACAAATTGGTGACGAGTGCCAGAATATAAACCAAACATGTCTACAGCTTGCACACCCACATTTGTGCTACATAACCAGAACGCAGGATGACAATAGCTCAGTAGCTGTTTTCAGAGAGACTTAGTGCATCTCACTTAGCAACCTGTTCTCAGTTTACTGGGGATTTAATCAGTCTTGAACTGTGTCACATTTGATGCTGCTGCATTACTGTAGTGCAAATGCAATTTCTAAAACAAATGCTAAAAACTATTTTTTCCTTTTCAGAAACTCTCAAGAGTTGACATTGTTCAGTGCCTTTATTCATGCTCTCAATTCATTAACGTTTGAACAGGAAAGAACTTACTGCTGATGCTCGTGAGTTGAAGGGAGAATTATACTGCTTACCCTGCCATGACAAAATGGGTGTCCCCATCTGTGGGGCATGCAGAAGACCAATTGAAGGCCGTGTGGTGAATGCTATGGGCAAACAATGGCATGTGGAGGTAAACATCAGATGATACATTGTCTTTTCCAAACACAAATATTAACATACTGATCTGGGGTTTTGCTGATCAATTTCAATGAAAGGATTAGCAAAATACACAGCAATGATTAGTAAATGCCGTCCCCTAATCCCATCTTCAACCTTCTTGTGGCTGGTCTTCCACTGTGATATAGGAGTTATTTCCTACCTTACAGAGAGCTTTGACTGTGAAGCTAAAATCAGTAATCAAAGCAGCACTGTGGGGTCCTTGTAGAAGAAAATTTCAGAGTGCAAAACAGTACATGTGGAAAGGCAGTAAAATGATGTAGCAACCATAGTATTACTGAGCATCATAATACCCTTATGCCTTCCATAGTCACCTGCCATGTAAATATCTCTAAAGCACTTTATGGGAGGGTTTGTATTTCAAAGCCATGTACAAGATTTAGGCAGATGAACAGTCTGTTCCTTTTGTTGTTTTGAAAATCTCCAGCAAATGCTTTCTTCACAAGAATGTAGTATCGGTGCAAATTACTTAAAATAATTTGAATTTAATAAAATAGTAACTCTTCATTCTGCTTATTGATAACATCAACTTGCTTGATTTTTTTTTGTTGTTGTAACTTTTGGATTGAAATGTTGAAGACATTAAAAGGAGCATTATTTTAGTGGTGTAAATGTAGCAACAAAAAAGTTTTAACTCATCTTTTCAAGATGGTACAGCTAGCTTAGTAGACTTCAGTCATGTTCAGTACTGGGCTTGGATGGTTAGCTTTCCAGAAAAAATACCATTACTTCCAAGTAATAAAAAAAAAAATGTATATAATTTTCTTTGTAGCATTTTGTTTGTGCAAAATGCGAAAAGCCATTCCTGGGTCATCGTCATTATGAGAGAAAAGGCTTGGCGTATTGTGAAACCCACTACAATCAGGTAAGGTTGCATATTTTTAAAAATGGTGTTAATTGGTAAACTCATTGATTGGTTTTATTAGAGATGGAAAACCATGGACATTCTCCTGTTTTCTTATAGGCGTCTGTGGGTGTAATGCCAATTAGCAGATGTTCTATTGCAGTTAATTTATATGGGCTTCTCTATACATCAGTCTGGTATTGGGAAAGAAAATTGCAGGTATTGCACAAAGGCTAGCCAGGACAATCAGTATCAAGTTGTTTTTCGAGCTTAGTGGTACTTAAGTAGAGCTGTTATGAGCTTTTACATAACTGTGAGGTCAGAGCAGCTAATGACACCCAGTCTTTCCCAAGAAGCTAAAGATTTGCCACTCAGTAGCTGCTGTTTAAGACAAGGCGGTAGTGAATAGTGTGGGTTTTCCTACAGCTGCTACTCTAAGATGACTGTGCGTTAACATACACGGCATCACCCAGCTCATTCGTTAAGTTGCTGAAGACCGCAAAGACTAAATTTGTCAGAGGACACCACCTAGTGATGCCTTGCATCTATATAGGAGTTATAGACTGTGGTACCATCTCTCTCCAGACTCCCTTAATTGTGTAGTCCAGCACTAGGATGTATAGACCTTTTCTATTTGGAAGCCGTCTGTGTTGTGTCATGTCCACCTCTTCGCTTGTATAAATACCAGAGTAGGGGTTACACTTGGGAATTGTAAGGCATCTGCCAATTACAGATGGATTCTTAATTTCTCAGTGATGACGGGCAGATGATTGAAATGTTGCTGGCATACTTGTAGACAATAAATGCCATGACATTAGTAGTAATAATGTTGCAGCCATGATGGGGCAAGTACATACACCAGACAGGAGCTGTATGTAGAGCGGATGTCTTTTACTAGGTTAACTACTACAGTTAGAAAAGATACATTAATTTTTGCGCACTTCTTAATTGTTATATTGTGGATAAATGCTAAGCTTGGAAATAGAATTAATAATTTTTGGCCTAAATTCTTCTTTCCTGAAATAAATAGGAAAACTGTTGTGCTTATCAGCTGAAATATAATTATTTTGTTAGAGAAGCTACCCTTGATAAAATCATTATATTAAAAATTCATTACTCCTCTTTCGTCTTCAGCTATTTGGTGATGTTTGTTTCCATTGCAACCGTGTGATTGAAGGAGACGGTAAGTCCTTTTCTGTTTCCTTAATGTTCCTTTCTGATGGAAGTTCTCTTTAAAAGTGTAAGTAAGGGGAAAGCAGCCCCCTGCTGAATCCTTGATTGTTCTCATTAAAACAAAGACAGCCATTCTCTTGATCAGAAATTAGGTTAGAGCTGGTTAGTCAGAGACCAAATGGTAAGAAAACCTTACAGCAAGGTTTCAATGATGGTAGAAGACCACTCAGTGGCTGAAGAGAACTGTGGTCAACTGGAAACCCCTTAGTGACATGCAAAGGCCAGGCATGGAGATACTGGGAGGTGTACAGAAGTGGCTTCCTGCCCCACCGACTTCAAAAAAGAGCACATGTAAGGGTGAGAATGACCACACAGGCATCTCCTCAAATGAATTTAGGGATCATGAACGAAATTTGGAAAACTATTTAGATGTTGAAAGACATGGATGGACACTCTAAGGGATTTTTTTTAAGTGCCTAGTTCCCATTATGTTAGTTTGGCTCCTAGAGGTATTCACCTATCTATCACAGGCACCTGTCTCTTGAAAATCTAGGCTGATGATAATGTCACAAAACCAGGAAAAATCATGTTTGGGAAGATGTGTCCTGTAAAGGCAGAACTGGAAGCAAGTGCTTTGTTTGTTTTTTTGTTGTTTGGTTGTTGTTGTTTTGGTGGTGTTTTTTTTGGGGGGAGGGGGGTGTGAGGGGTGTTTTGCCAACCAGCTGTGATAAAATGCCAAACCCAAACTTTTCTACCTGCAATAATGCAACATTATGTGTTTATTTACCCCTGCCCTAAGTAAATACTGTAATACCAAAGTTAGCCTCACCCAAGCCGAAGCCATTAGCGAAGTAGGAGGAAGCCTCCAGCATGTAAAAAGAGATGTAGTTTATAGTCATGTAACTATAGGGTGAGGCCTACCTTTCAGAGATGTGCTTTCCGCATTTTCTGAACTGGACTATACCTGCAGAACGACAATCCAAAAAGCTTTGGAGGAAACAGTGTCTTCCTCATCACTAAAATCCTACTAGAATGAGCAGAACTGGAACTTGAGGTGAAGGAATAAATTCAGCCTTGTCTGATAACTATATCTCTGTATGTTTCTAACCTGACAGACATACTGTATATTTTGGTCTCCAAACTGAACAGAATATAGCGTAATGCAGTAATTTCTATATTTTCAATGTACCTCTTCAATTATTTTACATTTCTTCTTTCATTTCCGCATACAAATTTGAAACTGCTGTCAGAACGAGTATCCAGTATTGTTCCCTCCCTCTGGTGAAACAAACATCTGTGGCAGTTTTTCAGGAGGGTGTCTATGACCGTATTCCAGAGATTGCCTGGGAGTGAAGATTTTGATCTCACTAGTATTATTTTGGCAAGCAGTGGAATAACTATGCTTCTGTGGATGTGCTTGCCCCATAGTGCAGGAAAAAAAGCTCTGCATGACAATGCTCTGGTTCTGTTTGTTGTTGGCAAAAGTCTGTATTTTATGACAAAACCATTCTCCTGCATCTTCTAACTTAGATTAAGAAGAAAGTCAGATTTTGGCAGGGAAAGGTACATTCAAAGCAGAAAACAGATTGAGATACAGAACAAAGAGAAAATCATTACTTTCTCTCCAAAGCAAAGAATAAAAATATATCCAAGTTTGTCTTGATCAAGTAACTTATCCCACGAGTCCATAAATTTTTTCAGCTTGGTAGTGCTAATTTACCAGCAGTGTCCTGACTGCTGGCTTCACGTTACTTTCTTCAGCCAGGCAAGTGCTTCTGCTGATGGCACCACAGTCTGAACAGGAGCTGAGAAGTGAAACCAAATGAAAACATGAACACCTTCTTGCTGGATTGCTTTTCAGCCAAAAAAGTCTCCTGATTAAGTTGGAAATACAGGAAAAAGTTGCCTGAGGACAGCATGCTATGATATGAGGTGGAAGAAGGCAACAGGAGGCAGAAATAGGTTAAACTGGTCTTGCTGGTGAACAGAGAGTTGTATGTACCCTCAGAGACAGCTTTACCAATGCTTCACAGTCCTGCTACACTACACTCACATGTGCCTTCCTAGCCTTGCCATGTTATTGTTATGGTCCTCAATACTTGATATGAGAATCAAATGACTGTTCTTCGTGCCTCATGAACGTGTGAGCTTAGAATTTTTGTAGTATCTTTTTTTTCTGTAATGCTAATGATTTCTGTTTTTTTTCCCATTGCCCTAGTTGTGTCTGCTCTGAATAAGGCATGGTGTGTGAACTGTTTCGCTTGTTCAACTTGCAATACTAAGTTAACACTCAAGTAAGTTTATTGATAAGTGTGATGACTTCAAAACATATATATCAGTGGTTATCTTCAATGTGTAGATGTTGCTATGGTGTAACTGTTACAGTATGAAAAACATATAAGCAGCATTGAGAAAATATGTGTATCTTTCTTCCTTTTGCTCCATTTACTAATATACATCTCTTTCAGCTGTCTGTTCAGGTCTTCCTTCAGTTAGTCTACTTAACTCTTCTTTTCTGTCCTTTATTTTTCCTGTGTTTAACTCTAAAGGGATAAGTTTGTTGAAATTGATCTAAAACCTGTCTGCAAACACTGTTATGAGAAAATGCCAGATGAATTTAAGCGACGACTTGCCAAACGGGAACGTGAAGCAAAGGATAAAGAGAAGCAGAAAAAGAAAAAGCCAATCTGTTTGTAAACTTTTTTTCCTTCTTACCACCACCTCTGCTCCTTTCTTCTTTGGTCAGTGCTAAGGATGCTTTTATTTTACGTTTTTGCGTGCATTTATGGCAATCAAACCCAAAATATTTTTCACACAACTGCAACTTGAAAAATTAATTTGTTATTCTATTATCCTATGTTTCGTCTGTCTAGCACTACAATTAGGCTTGAAAGGCTCTTTAAATGACACAGTTAATAAATACAAACATTTGGGTAAAAACTGCGTAACACAGCAGAATACTGTAATTACTGCCTACAGTGTATAACCTTGTGAAAGTAACTTTATATATATGTATAAATTGCAGCTGTAATTTTTTGCTATGCATGTTTATTGGGATACTTGTTGGGTTTTTTTCTTTTCATTATCCCTACTGCTAAAACTTTGTCTGGTTTTTGCTTTGTTGTTTTAGGAATAAATTTGTTGAGTTTGATATGAAGCCTGTCTGCAAAAAGTGTTACGAGAAGTTTCCTCTAGAGCTGAAGAAAAGACTGAAGAAACTAGCTGAAACTTTGGGAAGGAAGTAAAGGCTTCATCTGCTCTCCCCTTCCTTTGTGAGAATCTTACGTATATTACTTGGGGTAGGGCTGCTTTGAGGCTAAAAACAGACAACAAATGATGATGTATGCCTTCTATCAAATCGAAATACCTTAAGATTCTCCGTTCTCTATACATGTACATGTATGCTTATTTGTTGATAAAAAAACCATACTTAGACTCAAATACCAGCTCACCTGAAAGGTTTCTGACCCTGATAATGCAGTTGAACTGCTGCAAGTGGCCCATTCTGCACAGTAATCTCTGCGGAAATTTAGACAGAAAATTTGCTTGTGACTACCTTGCAAAAACTGTGCAAATGTGTCCAACTTTAGGGGCATGTATTGTCATTTATATTAATTAAAGTATTAACCTTCAAATAAAGCATGCACACAAAACTTGCCCAAGTCAAGTGACCTGGGCAAGAAACCGAGATACTTTGCCTTGTGGAAAAAGTCACGCTTGGATTTCAGGCCAAGTTGTCTCATTAAAGGAGCCTTGTTTTGTAGAATCAGAGAATCTTTGGGTTGGAAGGAACCTTTAAAGGTCATCTAGTCCAACCCTCCTGAAATAAGCAGGGACGTCTTCAACTAGATTAGGTTGCTCAGAGCCCCGTCCAGCCTGACCTTGAAACCAGCCTGACCAGTTTCAGATGGTTTGAAAAGTATCCGATTTCTAAATACAGTCACTGTGCAAATGACCTACTTCTGATAGACTATACATACATGATGAATCTTTGTACATCAGTCTTAGCATGAAATAACTATAAAATATATATTCCTATTGCAAGAAATGAGCATACTCAGAACTACTTGAATTTTGCTATATTCCACTCAGAATAACACATTAACTTTTATATATGCTTTTGCATTCTATTTACTTTTTGTGCCTTATTCTGCTGGACCATACATAACAGTGTTCTACTAAATATATATAGTTTTATTTTTTATTTCATATTTTTATGCAGAAACTATATACAAGGTATTTTCAAAAGATAACATACTTTGCCTTAATTATACAGGATGCGAGAAGTATTTTATTTCAAATGTGAACACCTGAGCTTAAAATTTAGCTTCTAGGCCTCATTAATTTTCAGAACAATACTGAAAATGTGTATTTCAATTAACTGGCAATATTACTTTTACACCTATGAGTGTAAATATACAAGGTTTGATCCTGCTAGGATCTATTTCTTTAGCAATCTTCAAGAACTGAGCTAACAAGTCATCAGGATTCCTTATAACATACATTTATTTGTTTTATACTGTTGACTTCTGTTCATGCAAATCTGTTTTATTTTTCCCTTTCTTAGAGAAAATACAGTTACTTAGGACTTCTTGATGGTACTACATTACAAAGTACACAAACTTTTTTTTTAATATTAGTTACTTAAACAGATTTTATGCAATTCCATCATATGAAGTGAAATTTTCTTTCCTGTTTATGAAAAATTAGTTGCTTTAAAATGTCTGCTTTCCAGTGACATCAATAAAGGCTATGTTATTAAACCTTGTTATCATCTCTCTTAAATGAGTGCTTGAGAAGGGTGGGAAAGCAACTAGGCTCTCTTGGTTCCCTATTCTTTTACCTGTGTCTGTATGTAAATACTTCCTTATTATCCTGATTTAAAGGAGACAAAACCCTTTTCTATGTATCCCACTGTAGTTGTTAAACTCATGGAAGAAACCAGAGTTTGCTTCATAAAGAACAGCTTGATTCTTCTGGGTATTTTCTGAATTGGCATAGTTGCTAGGTTTTCCTAAAGAAATTATCTTGTCCGAGTTTAAAACATACACCTTCCTATCCATTTTTTCTCTCTGCTTTTCACTGTAATGAAACTGTCACCCCAAACTTCCTGTTTAGTACTAGGTAGGGTATTTTTTGACTATTTTATCCTACATAGTTTTTGAATGCCATAACAGTTCAGTAACTGAATGCAGTCCTGACTGTGTTCAAGACTAGAAAAGCTTAAAATGGCCCAAAAAAACATTTACATAACTACCATGGTAGCCCTGTTGGGATCTTGGACCATGCCATGGATTCAGTAGACCATACTCAGCAATTCTTCCTTTAAGTCATAATTCACTTCTTGGTTTCACTTCCAGGTTTTTCACACTACACTGACTGTACCTCTTTTCCTTCAGCCTATGTACGCACAGTCTTACCACTCAAAGAGTTGGGAAGGGTTCCTAAACCTGAGGCTAAGCAGCAAAGACCTGGCTCACATCCACGTTGCTTGGGGTTACATCTATCCACAACACAGTGGCCTTGTTTGCACTCTGCAGCCACAGGTCTCCTCTCGACTCTGTGGTAGCCCCGTGGCCCTAACACAGGATGGGTTTTTTCCTGTTTCTGAGTTCCTGATGGTGAGCGCTGTGCTACAGTTCACCAAGGCAGCGGTTTCTACTTCATGAACATGTGCATCTTGGACCCCGTGATGTAGCGCTGAGAGCATCTGAGGGTTCAAAGCCTGATGAATCATGGAAAAATGTTGATTGGAAGGGGCTGCTAGAGGTCAGCTAGCCCAACCATCTGCTTTGAGCCGGTCTAACTTCAAAGTTGGATCAGCACTGAAGGTCTTCCTCAGCCAAGCTGTGAGTATATCTGCGGAAATAGGTTTCACAGATCTTTGTGGTGAATATGTTCCAGTGCTTCATCACCCTCATGGTGAAATTTTTTTATTATTAATGGAGTCCTATCTTGAGTGGAGGGTTCCCCAAATCCACACTGCTCTCTTGGGAGTTGTGTTAGGAGCAAACTGTCATTGAAATAATACCTCTGGACATTGTCATGAAGAGGATTAATTAAAAGCAGTTGCAAAACAGAGCCAGGGAGCAAGCTAGGAATTAGGCAGCCTGGACAATTACAGGTCTGGTGGTGAAGCTCACTTCCTGGCCTGTCAGTATTATAAATATTTTGCATAACTGCACATACTTTCCTGAAAGAGGCAGAGTTTATTATTGTTTTTCTACCCATGACCCCTACTAGGTCTCTCAAGGAAGGCTGTGAGCATGGGATGTGGGACTGTATGCTGCAGCAGCTTTGCCCCTTTCTGCTGCGTGGGATCAATCGTGCACTGGCAACAGATTCCTTTAGAAGTACCTGCTTAGACTAACAGTAGGGAGCACGTCAGAAAGCCCAGTGGATGTAGCTGTAGGGTGAAGAAGCTGAGCCTAAAGCCTTTCTGCCACTGGCAGTGGCAAGCCCTGTGCTCTGTTCGAAAGAATAGGTAGCGAGCCAAGCTGAGCGCAGTCAGGTTGCAGGGCTAGCACTAGAGTCAACTACTGTCCTGCCTGGTGAGCTGCCTTCCTGGTGTTGCGACCACTGGGGACAGCACAGGGGGTGCCACTTCCACAGGGATGGGCGAGAGACACTGGTGATCAGTGTCAAGGCACCGGACCCTGTCTGTACGAAGGCAATTTCCCATGCCTCCCCATCAGTTGAAGAGCAGTAACTTCCTCCAGTGAGCCAAATGAGCCAACTCCAGCGTTCTCCTCTGCGCGAGCACCACGACTTTTGTTACTTAGCCTGGCAGGTGCTGATCAATTGTCTGGCAACCCTGGTTGTAGATACACCATTCAAAAAAGTACAGAGGAACAAAAAAAGATCCTTTTTCCTTACAGAATTAAATCAAACATCTAAATAAATCACCATTAATAGCACAAATAATAAAAGACAGGGTTAATTCTTTCAGCCAGGGTGTTACATGGTGCTGCTAGTCTCCTTAAAGGAACAAGTTTGGTTAGGTTTTTAAATTTTTTCTGGCAAACATGGCAAGAGCTCTGCAGATGTCAGTATTTTTTAATGGTATGGCTATCAATGCGTTGCTCGAGATTGAGAATGGGACAAACTTTTAATGATTCTTCAGAAACAGAGCCCAATGGCCTCATTTTGACCAAAGTGCCTGAACTGGCAGAGGAAAGACTAGATAGGCAATTCCAGTGAGCAGGATCTGACGCTGCCAGCTGGGAATAGCACCATGGGGCCACCACTGGTCCTCAGAACCACCAAACTCTTACAGCTGCAGCTTGCAAATTTCTCCTGTCTTGAGGGCTGCTGATCTCATCATCTTCTGATCCACGTTCCCAGCTGTACTTTAAGTAACAAAGAGCACAATTATGCTTTTCATAGTACCTGCAAAATAAAGTTTTTCACCATAGCTGCTACAATAGCTGGAAACTCATTTTCTAGAGCTCTGGGTCTCAGCAATAACACCCATATTTATGGATTAAATTTATAGTTGCTGTGAACGGCAAGATACAGTTTTAGGTGAAGAAATACTGAAGCTTGCTTCCACACACGTAAATATTTTCTGTGACACCGTAAGGCCCACACACGAATAGAAGCTGGCCTAGTAAAAAGGGAGCAAAGATCAGTTGCCCCTTAAAATCTATTGGGATGCAAAGAGTTGGCAGCCCGGCTAACCCGGGCCCTAACCCGGGCCTCGCTCACCCCG